GTGTGTTCAGACAGATATAAGTGAATATTTTGGGTATAGATGCATTATGTTTTGTGATTATTACTGGTCCGGGGATAATTTAGGGGCAGATCGTAAATAGATTTTAAGAAAGATGATTGATTTGTCTCAGTTTCTGAGAGTTTGAGTGTACACAATGTGTGTAATGACTGACAACTTCAGAATCAGAATCAGAATCAGGTTTATTGCCAAGTAGGTTTTCAGACTTACAAGGAATTTGCCTTTTTGGTGTTATTGTGCACAACACAACACTTCTATGAGAAGCAAGAATAAAATGTAGTGATAAAAATATAGGACTGAATGATAAAAATGAAAAATACAATCTTTAAAAATATAGATCTGAATGTAAACTTCCAGTTGGAGTTGTATTCCCTATTTTTTTTATTTTTTTTATCCACTGGCTCTATGTCAGACTTTGCTAGTTAAGACATCTGAGACCAGAATCAGACGCAACATCAGGAAGTATCATTATCAGAAGACCAGAGCAAAACTCTCAGACAAGAAAAGGACACAATACCAGAAACAGCTCATTTGTAACATCAAAAACCTTCTGGACATAAAAAACACCGCTGGCCCTGATTATTTGGAGCCAGTGGTACTTTGCGTGTGCTGCTATCTTCAGGTAGATAAAGCTCTCAGACGCTTTCATCAAGGAACACACTTTTGGATTAAACAGTCACATACCAGCGTTCACATCCACCCATCCCAACCATTCTGCACCACTTCTGTGTTGTGGCTAAATTTCCCCCCAAAAAATCACTCATTCCTTAACAACAAAGAACAGCATCTCTAAACACAAAGTTGCTATTAGGCTAATCATTGAATAGCTGGTCTTTGCTGAAAGCAAAAGGGCTTGTAGGCTTTTTTTTGCAGTATACTATCCTGTACATTTTATAAAATAACCCAAAAAATCAGTTATAAAAAGAGAAAAAAAGAAAAACACAGCAAGATTTACTCTAAATTACTTCACCTCACTCATTTCATGTC